ATTGCTTTCCTCAATGAATGTAAGAGCCCACAGTTATTTTTCGTTCCACTTCTTTTTACTCAAGCTGGACTGATTTGAAGTCTTGTAACAGTGTCTCTGCACATGTAGATTTGACTTACAGAATGACAGAACCCATCAGGAGATGGGTTTTCCACATCCCTGAAGTGTTTGAGGCCACAGTGGAAGGTGTCCCTACCAGGGCAGGGGGGTGGAATGAGATGACCTTTGAGGTCCCTTCCAACCCAAACCCTTCTGTGATTCTATGAGGTTATATCCCCTCTGCAGCTGGACCAGGCACAGTTCTGCCAGGCATTCTGTTCCACAGAGGAGTGTGTTTCTGTACAGACACAGGAGATATTTTTTTATCCCCCAAAAAGGAGCTATTTTGCACAGTGAAGCTTTTGATGAGATTTTTAATTATTCTCCCGGGCCAGAAAACAACACAAGCCCATCTCTAGTGTGATACATTGTCATTGCTCCCCCAGTCACTAATCAAATGGGATTTACAATTAGGGATTTCTTGATGAGCTGGTAGAGGTGAAGCTGAATCCTGTGGGACGACAGGCACAGTTTGGCACGGGAGCCCTTCCCTGGGGGTGAGGTGGCATGAGCAGGACATGTGTGAGTGTTGGCTCCCAGAGCAGGAACCCAGCGAGGGCATTTCTCTGTTCTCTGTTGTGAGCTGCCCTGTGTTCTCACTGTCTTTAATGTGCCTCTGATGCACTTTGATTTTATTGATACAAACCTAATGAACGGTGTATGATTTGTGTGGAAGAAGAATCATCTCCATCCCTTTCTCTCTGCCTGAGTCAGCACTGTGATGCCTTAGTGCCAGATCATTAACCCTCTGCTGCAGATGCTGCAGCGGCACAGAACCAAAGCTCATCACCTGCCCTGTGCCCCAGTCGAGCAGGGAGCAAGGGAGGGATGGAGGTGGGAGAGGGAGAAATCCATGGCTGGGGACAGTGTGGGCCAGCATCAGAAACCCCAGTGTCAGCAATAATCTTGGGATGAACGTGGGTTTAGATGTACATTACAAATGCAAGTAGTGGATGTTCCTTTGCTTGTTTTTCAGTGTATTTTTTTTCTATTTGGGAAGAGCTTGGCATGAAATAGTTGGGGTTTATTTGCACAATGGGGAGTGGTTTGATGGTCAGATGAGGAGCAAGGAAAAGGCACCGAGATACCTGCATTCAGATGTGGGAAGCAGGGCATGGAAACAAAGGCTGCATCAGCTTCCCGAGGTCTGAGTTGATGTTTCCAGCCATTCAGATCATTGTGACAGGCTCAGCAGGCCCTGTCCTGGACCGTGTGTGGCACGTCCATCACATCTCAGGGCTGCCCAAGCTGTGCTGCTGCAGGCTTTGTGCCTGCTGGTCCGTTTGGCTTGTCGACATTTTCAATACAAAATCCAGGCTGGTGTGAGCAAAGTCAAAATGTTTGTGTTTTCTGAGCTGACAGGCAGCCTATTTCTGTACCCACCTGGTGTTCAGGAGACTAGAGGGTCTACCAGACCTCTAGGAATGGTGCTGCCAGAGAGTCCAGCCTGCATAGCTCCCTGCTGCCTTCAGCCTGCTATAATAAGTAATATTTTTTTAAAAAAGGGTTAAAAAAGCATTTGGGATGATCTGTGAGCATTTGCACTGACAGAACTTTTCCAGGTGGTTCTGGAGATCTGTGTGTTTTCAGTGTTTCTGCTCGTGCCACTACCTGAGGTTGGTGCTTTGTTCCCAGCCCTGGCAGGCTGGGCGAGGGGAGCCCCCACGGGGGAGTGTGACAGGGGACCCTGGAGCCATCTCTGGGAGCACTCTGGGACTGTTCCTGACAGCCCCATGCTATCTTCTGGTGCAGGGTCAGAGATAAGGAGCCCTGCATGACAAACCCACTAATTCAGCTGCGACTCTTTTTGGAGTCCAACGACTCAGGCCGAGAGTGCCCGGCCTGGCGCAGTGACCGATGTCATTGCAATTAGCATTTCATCTGGCCTATTGATTCAGCCCAAATCCTGGCAGCAGTGTTTGGACACTGTTTAATTTGCAAACAGATGCCTCCACCAGCTGCTCTCCCCATGCAGATGTTTCCCCCTCGGAGCAGCGCCGGCGAGGCCGTGTGGGAGTGTGGGGCTGCCCGGATGGACTCGGGGCACTGCCTGGGGCTGGGCTGCCCACAGCACTCCTGGGAAGTCTTTTTTCTGTTCCTCCCTCTGCAAGGGCTTGTTC